TGGCGCAGGATAGAGCAGGGTTTAGGGCTGTTGTGCATAGGGTCGCTATGAGTCGGAAACGACTCAACGGCACATAACAACAACAACAACAACATGGAATTCCCACTCTTGTCAGTATTGTCTATAACCTGTAATCTACATCATTGAATGCCTCTGCATAGTCAATAAAATACAAGTAAAAATCTCTCTAGTTTTCTCTACTTTCAGCCAAGATTCAGCTAACAACAAAGATATCAATAAAGACATCCTTCATGCCTTTTCTGAATCCAGCTTCAGTTTTAGCAGGTCCCTGTCGATGTCCTGTCCCAGCTGTTTTGTAGAATCTTCAACAAGATTTTACTTCCACGTGATATTAACAATTTTTAAATAATTTCCACATTTAGGAGTACATATTTAAGGAGAAATTTATATGCCCACCTTCCCTCAATATTTTATAAACATGTTCTGTTCACTTCTTTTGTATCATGTGCATGTTATGCCTTCTCTGCAGAACGTTTTCTTCCTTTCTCTAGATACCTATACAGAGCTGACTTAACACCTTCAGAAATTCTCCATTATTCTGACTCGTCTAACTCTTGACCATCCTAAGCTCTGCCAGGCTGTTGTTAGCTGCAGTTTGAGTCAGATATTACTCACGGCAACTTTCTATGTAGTCGGCTCCTGTCCCTGGCAATCTAATATATATAAAACACAATGAAACACATTTTCTGAGTCCACTGTTTGACATGTTACAGTCACCAAGTCCACTTACCTCATGGAGAGTTTCCCTCATTTTCAGTGACCCTCTGTTGTGTACTGCTGAGTCAGCATCAACCCAGTGCTGACCGACTCTCTGGTGGGTTTTCTGAGGCAGTAAATCTCACTGGAGGAGACGGCCCATCCTTCTCCCACAGAGCAGACGGTGGATTTGAACCGTGTGCGTTTGGGTTGGGAGCACAGCTCCTTACCATTAGGCCACCAGAGCTCCTCACCAACCCTCTACATCATCAAATATGATGTCCTTTTCTAGTGATTGGTCTTGATGACACATCCAAAGTAAGCCAGAAGTCTCTCTTTGCTCTAAGAAACACTTCTGCTCATCGGTCTGCAGTAGGCATTTAAAGTTATAATCAGTTAACAGCTTATCATATTTTAATAGTTTGAATGTGTTAACTGTTCTTTAATATTTTATATGTGTAATACTACAAGTTGTGCTGCAATCCCAAAAGCACGTAGTTTGAGGCCACCAGCTGCTCCATGCTCCATGCTCCATGGGAGAAGGACGGACAATCTCCTCCTGTGCGATTAACCGTCTCTGAAAACCTGCCGAGGGTCAGCTATGAGTCGGTTCCAACTCCATGGTACACAACAACAACAACAACTGGAAATAATAAATTGATACAAATCACTATAAATGCTCTTGAACTTTTATAAGCATTAAGATTATGTAGCTTTTTCTTGGACTAAAAGGAAATCAGCATTTCTTGTATTATTTTCAAAATATTAATGTGTACAAATATACAGCCCTCAATTCAAGAAATGGAAGAATATAATAATGGCAAGGTAATTCACCTATTTTAGAAAACATTTGCTGATTGATCACTCACTCGTTGCCACCTAGTCCGAATCAACTCATTGCCGACCCTCCAGCAGATTTTCGGAGGCTGTAAACTGCACAAGAGGAAACTGACTTCCGAGGAGCAGCTAATGGATCTGAACTGTCAGGGAGATGCCACCTTTGCCTAAGCAGCATAACTTCCTATGGGCCAGCCCACCAGAGCTCGCTGTGATTCCCCACGGAGTCAGGTAGAGTAGAAATTACTCAGAATATGGAAATAGATAGGTAGAGTTGTTAACTACAGAAATCCATAGCAGTTGTTGGGTTTCTACACTGAATCAAATATAATGTCTTCCTATTTGCCTGGGTAACATAACTCTTAAGAGCTTGGCAGCTAAACAAAAGGATCTTGCAAATAACACAAATCTGATCTTTTCACTGCCCTGCTTAAAACTCTGCTTTCCACTTGCCCAGAATATCCACACTAATTGTACATTGCTTAAGACTCCTCCTAACTCCTTAAGACTCCTCTCACCCTTTCAAGCCTCCTGTTTCAACAACTCCTGTTGTTCTGTGTCATCGAGTCGCCTGTGACTCACAGCTATGCACATTAACTCTGAACCCTGTTCTATCCTGAGCCGGTTTTATCTTCTCCAACAGACCTAATCCCATTTCTCCAGTCACTGTGTCAGTCCATCTCATCCTGGGTCTTCCTCTCCTGTGCTGTCCCTCCACCCTTCCAAACATGATGTTCTCCTCCAAGGACTGGTCCCTCCTGGCCACTTGCCCATAGTTTGTGAGATAGAGCTTAAAAATCCTCACCTCCAGAGAGCAGCCTGGTCTCACCCTTTCCAGGACAGACCTAGTTGTTCTCTTGGCAGTCCACGGTATATTCAACACTCTTCTCCAGTACCACAACTCAAAGGCATCAATTCTTCTTCTATAATCCCTAGTCATTGTCCAGCTCTCTGATGCATAGCAAGCAAGTACAAATGCAAAGACCATGGTCTGCGTCAGGTGCACCTTAGTCTCCAGACTGACACCATTACTCTTCATTACTCCTACCTCACATCTATTAAGGGAGCTCTGGTGGCATTGTCCATGTGTAGCTGCGCTGCTAACCCAAGGGCTGTACCTTTCTGACGGTTCAAATCCACCAGCAGCTCCATGAGAAAAAGACAGAAAATCACCACCCATGTAATGTACAGCCTTGGAAACTCTCTGGAGGGTCTGCTAGGAGTGGATTCTGACTCGGTGTCAAAGAGGGAGTGAATATCGACTCACTGAAGAGATCACCAGGTTGGCACACTTCCTGTAAGGTTTTCAGTTGATTGGCCTCCATCTGCATTTCTCTTTCATAACCCTCCGCAGGCTTACTACTTCTCTGGGTTTTTTTGTTGCTGTTTAGACTAACTTCTCTTAAGAGGTTCAAGTCACTGCTGAATTTCAGTTTCTATTATTACAAGAGCCTTGAAAATAACTTAGGCTCAGTATCTTTTTGCATGAGTGCAAAAAGTTAGATGAATCACTTTCTCGCGCGGGCTTGTTTCGGGATTCACAAGGGCATGCTTGATACACTGATTCCCAGACAGCAGGGAGAAAGGCTGTCCAGGCTGGGATGACAGAGCCGCACTACGCTGCATGGGGCGATTAATAATACATCTCAGCATTACTGATTCTAGCACGCGTCCTCACACAATACACGCACCTATAAGTGTGTGCTGAACGCTTCTCTTGGAAACAGAGATGAATGGTTATCTTGATAACCCCAGTATTTTTTTCCCCTCTGATCCCCAAAGCCCAGGAGACCGCCTGCTCGCCCTCAGTTTATGCTAACTACTCCGGTATCAAAATGAGCCACGCCCCCCACCATATACTTTAAATCAAAGCTCAGACTCCAGGCTTCCTAGAGTCAAAAGCGGTTACAGACTCGTTATTATAGGAAACTACTGACCTACACTAACTGCGGGGCGTCCCCGGCGCTCTCTGCATTCCCCCAACACGATGCCCGGGACCCGGCACCCGGGGGCGCGTGCTCAACACCCTACATCCTCTGTTTAGTTCAATTAAACCTGCTAGAAAAGCGGCTCGGCTTCGAGCCCCGGACAGATCCCGCTCCGCACCCCGAGTGCAAGCCGAGTCCTCGGCCGCTCGCGCATCCCGGGCCCGGGTCACCCTCCACCCGCGCCCGCTCGAGTCCGCGGCCCCGGCCTCACTCACTGTTCTTGAGGAAGCGCTCCTCGTGCAGCACGGCGATGGCGTTGACGCAAAGCAGGGCGGCCTGCAGCAGCGAGTACAGGGTGAAGGCCATGGCCGCCCGGAGCCGCCCTGGACACCAACCGCTTCCAATCCCGCCGCCGCCGCTGCCGCCGGGGACGTGGCGCCGCCACCACCACTGCGCTCGCCTACGGCGGCCGGACGGGCCCAAAAGGACCCGGCCTCGACGGCTCCGCCTCCAGCCGACCAAGAACCGCCCCGCGCTGACGTCAACGGGCGTGCCCGCTCGACTGCCTGGACGTGCGCTGTCCAACACGGTGGCCACGTGGGGCCACTGAACACTGGGAATGTGGCTGGTTTGGATTAAGAGGTGTCGTTCGTGTACAATACAAGCCACATTCCAAAACTTTTCTAAGAAAACTAGAAAATCTCAATAATTATTTAAGTTGATGATGGGTTGGAATGATAGCATGTTGGATATTTGTGGCTACATAAAGCACACAAAGCTCTGTAACTAAAAGCTGAACAATGAATAAGGATGACAGAAGAATCCGTGCCTTTAAGTTGTCGGAGAAGAGTACTGAGCATTCCATGGACTGCCAGAAGTACACACAGAGTCTGTGTTGGAAGAAGTGTAACTGGGGTGCGCCTTACAGGCAAGAAAGGGGAAGCTTCATCTCATACTTTGGGCATGTTCCCAGGAGAGGCTATTTCTTGGAAAGGGACATCACACTTGGAAAGGTAGAGAGCGAAAGAGAGGAAGACCCTCAATGAGATGGATTGGCCCAGTGGACACAGCAATGGACTCAATTATTTAAAAGATGATGAGGATGGCACAGTATAGGACAGGGTTCAAACCTGGTGTTTATGAGTCGTCCTCGATGGCACCTAACAGCAACAACATGATGCTGAACAGTTTCAGCACCTGGTAATTTACTTCTTTTTGAGAAACAACCAAGGAAAATTCAGGACCAGGCAGTATTTAGTTCTGTAGTATATTGATGGGGTTTTCCTGCAGGAGGTGCTGATCCAGTGACAGCTAATACCATGTCATTTATTAATTATCTCCTGTGCAGACACTTCCTAAACTTCTCAGATTCTCTAAGATAAAAGAGGAAAGCATTATATTCTGCCCCAGAAATTACTTTGGAAAACCTGCAAATTATGACTGCTGGAGAAACATTGACCAGAAGCAAGAAAAGACTCATTGGTTAAGCTCCCAAGAAGAAATTAAGCTTAAATGGGCCAGAAAGTTAGAGCCTACAGGGAAGAAGAGATACAGCTTTCCTCCAGATACACATAAACAATGTCTCCAGTATCTGCTCCTGAGTATAAATCAAGCCCAAGAGGCAGAGTGTAAAACAAATGGAGTAAAAGAAGCAAGGAGGTATTAAGAAATTCTCCACTTTTGCAATTTCCAGAAAACTCAGTTGCAGTAATGGGGAATGAATTGTTGTTCTAGAGAGTGACAGCAGTGACCAGTCCAAGATTCCACACTAGGCTGGGGGAGGGCGTAAAGGGAGTCAATGGAGACACCACAGGGCATACAGCGGAGGGAGGAGTGAAAACTTCCCGGAGCCACACCCTCGCGTTGCCACTGGGTTACTCACATGATCTAGTTCTTTCATTGTCAAAAGAATCAGGTTAACCTCTCTGGGCCTCTGTTGCTTCTTCTATAAAATTAGATTATTATGATCTCTGAGGCTCCTTCAGCTCCCCAAATCTCTCGATCTGGCAAAAACAGCTTAAAAATCCAAGATATTGTACAAGTGACTAGTACCATATTATCTGATTGATTCTTTTTCAAAAATCCAGGCTTACAGCTAAACTGATAACAGCAGATTACTGCCTTAAATAGAATTGTCTTTACTGCCAAAGAAATGCAAACGTCTGGAAATTTTATTATTTATTTATAAAATGGTTTTCACAGTTTAAAAAACAAAATCTGCCCTCAAACAATGAACTGGGTTAAGTGTGTATTGTGTGTCTTTGCAGCTTGAAAAAAAAAAAATTCTATGACCTATTTAAGGAGCTCTGGTGTAGTAATGCACCATGGTTTGAATTGTGAAGGTTAGTGTTTCAAATTCATCTGCTGCCTTGAAGAAAAAACTCATCTCCTCCTGTGAAGACTCACACAGCCTTGGAGTCCAAGTGGAGGTTTGATATGAGTTGCCAGGGGGCTTATGTTGTGAGGTACCATCAAGTTGACCACATTTCCTAGCAACTGTATGATTGTAATCTTGCTCCATCTTCTGCCATCCTTACAATTGTGACAATCACATGTGTCAATCAATGCATTTCATTGAGAGTCCCCGACTCTTTTACTGATTCTCTACTTTTCTAAGCATGATGACTTTTGCCAAGGACTGACGCCTTCTGACAACAGGCTCCAAGTATGTGAGATGAAATGTTACCATCCTCCAAGACAGATGTGTTTCTTCTTCTGGCAGTCCACCGCACATTTCACCAACATCACAATTCAAAACCACTGATTAATCTTCGGTTTTACCTATTTATTGTACAACTTTCACGTGCACAGGAAGCAATTGAAAATATGGCTTGTCGGGTGCATCTTAGACCTTTAACTGACACTCTTGTTATTTAGCACTTTAGACAGCAAAGTTGAACAATGGATAAAAGATGACATAAGAAGAATCGATGCCTCTGAGTTGTGGTCTTAGAGAAAAGTACTGAATGAATATCCCATGTTGTTGTTGTTGTTGTTATGTGCCGTCGAGTTGTTTGCGACTCATAGTGACCCTATGTACAACAGCCCTAAACCCTGCTCTATCCTGTGCCAATCACACTGCCTCTGACACACATCCTGATTACCCCAGTCACTGAATCAATCCATTTCATAGAGGGTCTTCCCCTCCTGCGCCATCCCTCCACCCTCCCAAGCATGATGTCCCTCTCCAAGGACCTGTCTCTCCTGCCAACATGCCCAAAGTATGTCAGACGAAGCCCCAGAATCCTTGCCTCCAAGGAGTTGCTTGGTTTAATCCTCTCCAGGATGAATCTGTTTGTTTTCTTGGCAGTCCATGGTACATTCAATACTCTTCTCCAGCACCACAGCTCAAAGACAAAACCCCCACAACAACAATAACAACAACAAAACCCCAAACAAATGCATCTCAGACAAGGTGCAACCAGGACACTCCTTAGAAGCAACCATAGCGGGGAGCTCTGGTGGCCTAGTGGCAAGAAGCTGCACTGCAATCCCATAGGAACATGGTTCGAATCCACCAGATGCTCTGCCGGAGAAGGAGGCGCAATATCCTCCTGTACCAGTCAGATCTGATTTGACGGTACACAAAATAAAAAAAAAATAAAAAAAAGAAGCAACCATAGCAAAACCTCTCACATACTTTACACTCACTATTAGGAGAGGTCAGTCCCTGGAAAGGGACATCATGCTTGGAAAGGTGGAGGATTGGTGTAGGAGGGGAAGACCCTTTATGAGTTGAATTAACACAGTTACCATAATAGTGGGCCTGGGTATAGATAGCAGAGGCGAAGGGGGATGGTTCAGGAGTTCAGGATAGGGGCAGGGTTCAGATCTGTTGTTCATAGGGTTTCTATGAGTCAGTTGACAGAGAGCAACTAACAGCAACAATGTTTATATATATTTGTAAACGTAAATGTATGTGTGTATATAGATAGAAAGAAATTTATCAGAAAAAAAGGACTTAAGCTTCTTACGGGCTGACAAGTCCCAGTCCACAGGTCAGCTTTCAGTAGAGAGGTTTTCTACTGACTCAGCTGGAGAAGTTGATAAATCCAAGGTCAGTAGATAAGGCAAGCAGCTGGCTCAAATTCAAGAATTGGAAGTGACAAACCAGAAGCAGGATCAGATACAGGAAAAAGTGAATAAACGTTACCAGACTTCCAGATGTATTTGATGTCGGCTGATGAAACTCCCTTTCAGCTGAGTGGCTGCTTGTGGCTGATTTTAACAAGGGAGTGTACCTTACAGCGGACTTCATCAGGAGAATGGCTATCCCGTGGGTACCACGCCAGAGACTCACAGGCAGCTGGGTTCGCACAACCACCCTAACATCACATTAAACATTCAGTGTCTGGATTGCTCATCGTCTTTCACTACTGGTTCAGCTATATTACTTGCTTTACTACAGCATGAGAATGAAGTGATGGTACGCTATTCTTGAACTTGGACCTCAGAAAGCTTTATGAGCTCTTCCGCTCTCTTTGGTCGCGGCAACGAAAGCGAGATGACGAAGGGAACGTCATCGTTTGGAAAGCGTCGCAATAAGACGCACACGCTATGCCGCCGCTGTGGCTCCAAGGCCTACCACCTCCAGAAGTCCACTTGAGGCAAGTGTGGCTACCCCGCCAAGCGCAAGAGAAAGTATAACTGGAGTGCCAAGGCTAAAAGGCGAAATACCACTGGTACTGGTCGCATGAGGCACCTAAAGATCGTTTACCGCAGATTCAGGCATGGATTCCGTGAAGGAACAACACCGAAACCCAAACGGGCAGCTGTTGCAGCATCCAGTTCATCTTAAGAATTCCACTGTTTAGTTATGCAATAAATGTTCTGGTATTATAAAAAAAAAAAAAAAAGCTTTATGAGTTTCTGCTTTCTTCCTCAGGCCTTTTGGTATCACATGAAAATAATCATGCATGGCGAATCGACCGATTCCAGGAGAAATATGACAAGACATGTGGCGAACCAAACGAACCAGCTAGACTAGCTAACCTTTAACCAACCACAGATGCATGAGATAAAATGATTGTTGTTTCAATCTAATGACTTCTATAAAAAGGTTCCTATATTGTGATTTGAGTGAAAGCTTAGAAATCATATTACTTTTTCACTCAGTAATTCTTACATGCTATGTTTTATTACATTAATTATAACTAATGTCATAAACTGCAATATCTGATCATCTACTTAGTTTCTATTACCTTTGCTTTTATTCAACTTAATAAGTGTCTATTAACTATTCATTAATTTTTACTCCTCTCTCTCCCTCCCTTTGCCTCAATGAGATGTGTTGACACTGTGGCTGAAACAATGAACTTGAATGTGTCAGAGATGTTGAGGAAGGCACAGGATAGGATAGGCTTCAG